TATGATATGATTATGAGCAATAGTTTGTGCTCGAAACGTCATCAGTTCATATAACTGTAAACACTGTGCGATTTATCAAAATAAAATCTTATCTATAATGGAATTATACTCTGCCACAGTGCCCAAGTTTTATACTTATATCAATAATACATATGGTCTTCCTATAAGGAAGCTTATCAATAAACTCACACGACTTTGTCAAATTGAAGCAAGATTCACAAACCACCGGATTTTTAATAGTAGATGTTTAAAAAATCATATAATTCCAAAATATTTACGCATACGCACTCCAATTGCTTCAAGGAAAATATCATCAGCAGCTGAACATCTCAGTAGATTATGTCTAAGAGAAGAACTACATCGAGTTACTGTGAAACTAAATAATATACGAAATGAAATCGAAAAACTCAAACAGAAACTCAAATGTATGGTCAATGACAAAGATTATGTAATCGTTGTTGAAACATCCGAAAAAGCTAGAGAATCAGCCTTAAGAAAATCAAAAACCACACAAATCAAAAAATTCAACAAACTAATGGAAGAAAAGAACACAACAAATGAAATTGATGTCAACACTTCATCCTCTATCGACAGAACAAAATGGGTGATCAACCTCTCATCAAGAGAACTAAGCTCTAGTGAGATAAAAGTACTTGAGAAAGGACTAAATTTTAACGTAACAGTTAATAAATTAAAACCAGAGGACGTTATTCCTAACATAGAAGCAGCACTAGGTTCAATAGACAAGACAACAGCAGAAGAGGTTAGAGCACAATGTGCGTTAACCCTGAAAAATCAAAAGAAGGCAAGATCAAACTTAACAAAATCAGAAAGGGAAGCTTTAATTAGTCTAAAACAGGATAAAAATATTGTCATCGCAAAAGCGGACAAAGGAAACGCCACCGTAGTTCTGAATAAATCTGACTATATCAAGAAAGTCAGTGAACATATTGAAACGGGTCCATATGAGGAAATTAAGAAGCCTGTAGATACAATAATGAATAAGGTAAAGAAATCTACAGCGGAATTAATACGGAGAATGAAGCCGTCACTGGGTGAGTCTAAATGGTTTACTTTAATGCCTAAAACTAATAATACTAGTAGAATATATGGTACTATTAAAATACATAAACCAGGTTACCCCATAAGACCAATAGTAGATTTTAGAAATACTCCCACTTATGAATTATCAAAACACTTAGCTCTAATACTTTGTCCCATTAGAAATCGCTCAAACTCTAGACTAACTAATTCATATGAGATGAAAAGTAAGCTAAATGACATTCAACTAGAGAATGATGAAAAAATGGTTAGTTTTGATATAACTAGTCTTTACACTAATATACCAGTCATTATGGCCTTAGAAGCAGTTAAAAAAGAACTAACTGCGGATCCTGAACTGAATCATAGGACAAAGCTGCCCATTGAACAAATTATGTTAGGGATTCAGTTATGTCTCACATCTACCATCTTTAAGTTCCAAGGCAAAATATATAAACAAACAGAAGGTGTAGCAATGGGATCACCAATATCCCCTATTGTAGCAGACATATTTATGGACAGCTGGGAAAGTAGTGCTCTTAATACGTTTAACCCCACTCCAAAAATATGGTGGAGATATGTGGATGACACTTTCACGGTGTTAAAAACAGAACATATCTCTAGCTTCCTGACACATATAAACTCACAAGTAGAAGGAATTAAATTCACATTTGAATCAGAAAATGAACTAGGAGAATTAGCTATGTTAGATTGTAAAATAAAACGAATAGAAGAAGGCAAACTACACACTAGTGTTTATAGAAAACCAACGCATTCTAATAGATATTTAGACTTTAATTCGTCTCATCCGTTAACTGTTAAGGCAGGCTTAGTAAAGTGTCTAACAAATCGAGCCATAGCACTAAGTAGCACAAAAAAAGACCTAAATGATGAAATAAAACAGATAGAAGAAGCGTTGGTGTTGAATAACTATCCTATAAAATTCATTAGGAAGATCACCAAAAACCAAAAGCAAAATAAAAATAATGGTGAAACTATTAATGATAACACAAATAAGAAAGAATATAAGTCATCCACTGTTATACCATATAAGGAAAGCACATCTGAGGCCCTACGTAGGATTCTTAATAAAGCAGGAATTAGGGTGGCATTCAAACCTACAAACTCACTCAGAGACAAGCTCTGTAGGCTAAAAGACCCGGTGGATCCAATTAAACAAAATAATATAATTTACAAAATACCCTGCAATAACTGTGAGGTACACTACATAGGTCAAACTCATAGGTCAGGGATAGTCAGATTATTAGAACATAAGAATTTAGCTAAGGTAAGAATGGTTGACCCTAAAAAGATAAGTAATTTAGAAAAAAGCTCAGCTATTGCACTTCATGCAATAACAAACAACCACACAATAGGGTGGGATAGGGTTAAAATTCTAAAAAGTAATATAGCTAAGTGGAGAGAGAGGTTGATTACGGAATCCTTATTTATCGAGTCCACACCCAACACATGCAACAAAAATGACTCAATGCAAATACCAGAGATATGGAAGATATTATTACCGCAGGTCAAATCAGAAGAGGGTAATAAATAATATTAAAATTCTATTTCGATTCAAACACATCACAACATCCTAACAAAAAACTTATTATGACTATTAAAACACTCGTCGTATCTTCCATCTGATTATAGTAGATCAATAACACTCGTATTAATGCCATCAGTCAAAAAAGAAGAAGATAATAAATAATCTTAAAATTCTATTTCAATTCAAACACATTCTAACAAGCAGCTTATTATGACTGTAAAAACACTCGTCCAATTTTCCCATCTAATTGCAATTGATCAACAACACTCGTACGATTATTTCTGAATGTACATTATCTCACATTGATTTTTAATCCAATATCTAATCCATTCCACATATGTATATAAATGAGAGATCAAAGTTGTGTGAGTAACTTGATATGATTATGAGCAATAGTTTGTGCTCGAAACGTCATCAGTTCATATAACTGTAAACACTGTGCGATTTATCAAAATAAAATCTTATCTATAATGGAATTATACTCTGCCACAGTGCCCAAGTTTTATACTTATATCAACTTTGAGTGGTTTCACTAAGACTCTTCAATCATTGATTTGTAACATCTTTGAAGACCTTAGCCACACAATCTTCACCTTTCGACGTTATTGAAACCAACATTTAGTGAATTTATGTTTGGTTAGCATGAATTCGTCTGGCTGGTAATTTTCGTATAAGGAGGTGATGCAGTTTCACGACCTTTTTGATTGTCTTTCTGTTAGTACCTAACATTACGCCTGAACTCATTATTATTGGCCATATTTGTACGGCATAACACGAAAAATTGAAAGCAAAGAACTTTCACCAGGAAACTCTAGCTTCTCCATACCTTCCACATTCAGTCATTATACCTCACAGTGGCGTGGATTGGTTCCTTTCAAGCCTATCATCAATGATAGTTTGATGGAGATCATGCCAGCACCAATGATAACCCAAGTTCACAAATGCTAGACAATTCTTTTGCTCTCGTACCCTGATCTCGTTAACAATCAGTCGATTAAGACCGATGCAACTTAACAGATAGGTGAGGCGGTCAACACGGCTAACCATTTCACTCTCTACCCCTAAGCCAGGTGTCGGTACAGACCAATCCTGCAACACAATTTTATATTTACCATGGGTGATTCGTGTGGCGACTTGAACTGCCGCACATTTGTGCAAAGTTCTATTTCGAAGACAGATGGGTGATTCGTGTGCCAAATTTACTAAGATATCTTCCGTAGGTATTAAAAAGGCCGTATTTTGTCAGTGTTTTTACCCAGAAAGAGTGCATCATCTGCATACTCTAAATCAAGAAGACATCCATAAGTTGTCAAGGCCAATTGCAGTCGTCTATATAATGAAATTAAGTAAAAATGGTGATATCGGGCATCGCCAAAATACACCACTGGTTACCGTCGCTTCAGGTGGAAATTTTTCACAAGCTCTTAAATGGCTTCACGAGTTTGTGTAGAGCACCTTGACTACTACAAGATATTGTTTCGGGACTCACTTCATAGCTACACATTACCACAGCGACGGAGTCAAATACCGTCTTCACAAATGCGATGTGTTGCACACTGGTAAGCGTGCTTATGTCCCATAACCTGTCTATGGGTGGATGTGTAACAAATGCACCCTCGTCTGCCTACCAGGTTTCCATGGACAGCCTTTCTCGAGTCCAGCCTAGTCCTTTCAGGACCGTAGAGCTTGGAATCGTAGATATTGTGTTAGTCAAGCTGACACCCCCTGCGACCACTACAGGAAGAACTTATCTTCCTTTAGTGATCGGTTCTACTTCACTGGAATTATCTCGGGTCCCCATGCATTACACAGTATTTTTGTAAATATGGTCTGTAATTCATTGTACCATCTTCAAGCACCTCAGTTTCTGCGGCCGGATTCCATTTTCACATCTCGTATTTCAAACAGTTCTATAACTCAATCAGTTAATTCTCTTGTAGTGGATAATTGAAACCTTGTGTCACCTGTTTGATATAGGACAGTCAATGAATATTATGAGGCTAGTCTAGTGCTCTGAAACTTGGCTTTTTAAAGTTGAATTTCATCATATTTTCATGGGACTGTGAACTTGCAAAATAGCTGTCTTTCGATGTACGTACCACTAGTTACAAAGTGTAGTGTCTTTAGAGATTTTGTATTAATATAGTGTTGTAATCCTTAGTAAGTCCACTAACTGGTTATTATTGTTGTTGATATTACAGAATGAGGCTATGGATAGGTATTGTCTATTCAGTTACCTTTTACATAAAGGAGATTGTGATGTCATTGATAATGTTGGTATATATATATATATATATATATATATATATATATATATATATATATATATATATATATGTTAATACTTTGGTTTTGTCTCTTGTCCTGTTTTGTAAACGGACATTGTATATGCCTAATTTAACCATTGTAGTTCTACTTTATGGACCTTCATTTGGCAACATACAATCTCATATTGGAAACATCGATCCAGATTGTAGTCCAGTTCAGATTGCAATTAATGCATATAGTTACTCGAGATTATTATGTATGCAGGTGTATGGTCGTGCACCTGGCTGTGATATCGAAATTCATGATTGTGTAGATAAAGACTGTGCTACTGGTGGTGGTTTTAACAAAATTGATTTTTGTGTCGATGCAACTGGCCATCCATCCACCAGGTCATATCTTTTGGAGAATCAACCGGACTGTACAGATATATCTGTCAAGGGCAAAGATGTAACATTTTGTTATATACCTGGTCATTTATTTTATATGTTATATGAATTATTGAAAAATTCAATGAGAGCTGTTGTTGAGAATCACACTCTTGATGATAATTTGCCGAGATTACACATCCTTATATCCAATGCACCTGAAGATATTATTATCAAGGTGAGCAGTACAAGTTAATTTTAGAGAAGTCTCTGATCAAATCTTATGAGTGATTTGTATCAGAAGCCAGACTAATATTTCTTCATTTCCTCTAGCTTCTTTGTCTTCCGTTGCATTTAGTCATGCGTTTTTTAAATTGTTTAAATCCACTCCGATACATTGCAACGTAGAAATTGTTTCGTCAGGTGGCTGCAGCTCAGTGAATTAGGCAATTAAGCACCAATCACAAGGTTATGGTTTTGAGGTTAGTAGTGTGTTCCTATTTGAGCAGGTAAGTATACTTGCTGTCCCTCATTCACTAAGCATGGGTCACAAATGATTAATAAAATTCATTATAGTTTTTATTCTAATCATTATTAATATTGTTATTACTATTGTAATTATCATTATCAATCGCAGTTATCAGTGCCCACTTTAATATTACTTATACTAAACATTGGTATATACTGGTATCCAATGATTTCATGGATTAACACAGCATTCTAGTGCAGACAGTCCCTACCTGTAAAAGCAGCATATCGTAGAAGTCAGTGCTAGTATGTATAATGCTTGATTATAAATTATAAACTGGAATAAATGGACAGTTGCAGTAAGTTCGTGATTATAGCCGAAGTAGTATAAGAGCCTTCCAATTTCACCTCCATGGAGGACGAAATGTCTTGCTTTGTTGAGTTTCGTTGTTTTCGATTATATTTTAGCGATCTAGTGTTTGTAAATCGGAACGCGTGAACACCTTTTTATTACTATTACTTTCATTGTCATCCTAAAAATTGGCTCTCTTTATCTTTATTAAGTGAAGTGATCAGTAATTTCAAAAATCAAATTGGTTTGTTTCCCGGCGGGATAATGGCATGAAGTCAAGGGTTTTTACGGGGTGCGGTTGTTGGCCTCATGCTTAAATTTCTGTCTTTGCTAGGCTTACTGTCGTCGGCCGAGAGAGCTGAATACGGACCACTTGTGTGGTTGGGAAGCATTCTACCATTGAACCAATGACGCACAATGCTGTCCCTCAACTATTGTTTTTCTGTATTTATAATGTCGTTTTATCAATTTTATTGATTTCGATAACCTACCAAGTTTGTTTCAAATACAGATAACTGACTTTTATATATTCATAAATATCATTCAATAACCAGTAACAGTAATGTTTCAGTCATAGCAGAAACACTATTAAGATACGAACATTTCAACCACTATCAAAATTAACTGCCTATCATCCCAACTTCTAATTCAGTCAGATCCCATTCTTTCCAGCATACCTTTGTTTCTGATGTGACTAGGATTTTGCCTTTTTTAGGGTGTAGTGAAAGGCATAGGGAAAGGCAGTTTTTTGTTCTAGTTCTTGCTTTGAATACAAATTCTCACATTACGAACACCTCCATCTAAGGTAATTTGTTGTGCATCTCAGTTTCTAGTGTCCCGTGTATGCCATAAATATTCTGATTATATGCTTTCGAGTGAAATTTTAGTTGTCAGGGTTCACATGTAAAGCTGTACGCCCCTTCACCTTAATTCAAATGACTTAAAAAAGACCAGCTTAGTGATTAGCACTAGGTCAAAACTCATGCATGGTTATCAGATATGCCTCTAAGCTATTTAGACAAAAAAGGTTATTAATGAGGGAGACAGTTATTGTAGTGTATTTTAAGTAGACTGGTAGCACAGTTTGACAAATTTGTAGATCGTTTAGTTTGTGTTGATCTTTTTCAGTAGTTTCCGAAAATACAAATGTTATGAAGTATAATATTAATTGGTGGAGTGTGACTAGCAATGGAATCTGAGATTCTCATTTCGTCCTATTTCGAACTCGTTATCGGGATGTGTCTGCTATCCTCAGTGAGTAACGATGTTCCCAATAAGATTTGTAGCGCACTTTCCACACGACATTAAAATAAGCTCCCGGTTAAAATTGGTATATCGAACTGAATCAGCTTAATATTAGCTAAATAAACGTCTAGCTTGCCTGTATATACTTTGGACGGGTATATATTCGACCAGGTTTGTTTGCCACTTTCGCCTTCCTTCTTTATGCTGTTAACACGCATATACTCAGAGTGAGTAACTTAGCCATATAAGGCGGATAAGTTCTAAAATCTCTTCCCTAAATAACCTTAACCTTTTATTCTATTTAAATATATTGCTCAGCAGAGCTAATTCCTGCATAAATAATTTTTTTAAACGTGTTACGTTATCAGTACTTGTAAGGTAGGTAGTGCACTGAATTATTGGGTAATTAGGCATGTTATGTTTAAGTAAGGCTGGTAGAGTGCAGCACAACCAACACCTTGCAGACTCGAACCCAGCACCCATGGTGTCAGACGCCAAAGCGTTATCCACTAGGCTACAACAGCCACCTCTTCTTCTACAACTAACTGTCAGTGATTATTTGTTTATGTTGATTCCTCTGCTAATCATCAACCTCCAAATAACGTTATGCTGATTCCCAAACATCGTCGAAGCGTCCGTACTGGGGGCCGATATGTCATCAGAGACCAGACATTTCGGTCCAATAAAATCATTCAGCGGAAACAAACAAAATAAACCTCAACAGTTAGCTATTTATCATAGTTCTTGTTGAAAATCACTTAGTAGGGTTGCGTTTAGTGGTTTTTGGTTCAAAAGACTTAGTAACATCCCAACTTCCTGTATTTACTGGATGGTTTCCAACAAAAACTGTGTCCTTACAACATCATGTGTTGAAAAATAATTCTGTTAAAAATATCACTACGTGAGTTGCATGGTCGCCTAATTCCTTGCAGATTATTCATCACTGGCCAATAGTACCTTTGTAAAAGAGAGATGGTATTGTATCAGAAGGACATGTTAGTTAATACTATTGAATTGGAGAAGTTCGAGTGTAGTGAGAGCTTATCAGCTGAGGTCTTGTTGACTAAATAAGAACCTAACACGTATGTTATGAGTAATTAAATACTCATGAAAGAAATGAAATCTAAATGATTTCATTCACTCATATTACTAACTAGCAATATGTAAATGAACCAGGGTGTATTTGTTTTTTTCTTCCATAGTGCCCTAGAATGACTACTCTACTGTCTTGGTCTAGCGTGTCATTATATATATCACTACTTTGCTGAATGATTGTTTTTGTAGATTTTTCGAATTTTATGTACTTCCATTATTCCACGTTGAAATAAATGACTGGTTGATGATTTCGGTCCATCAATCAGACTGTAAGGTCTTGACATCAAATTTATTTACACCAGGATATTGTATTTAATAAAGCTAGTTTGCCGACTAAATAGAGTTACATTTTCCAGAGATCTGGGTAGAGTTTCTAGCATTAATATGTGTAAAACTTGGGCACTGTGGTAATTAATGACGACACCAACAATAAATAATCTAAATCATCAGTAACAATTCCATACAAGGAAGCGACGTCGGTAACCTTACAGAGAATTCTTAACAAGGCAGGAATAAAAGTGGCTGGCATTCAAACCAACCACAAACTCAATTAGAAACAAGCTTTGTTGGTTAAAGGATCCTGCAGAGCCATTAAAACAAAACAATTTAGTTTATCTAATACCCTGCAATGATTGTGAGGTCAAATACATCGGTCAAACTAGTAGAACAGGTGCAGTCATACTAGCCGAACATAAAAACCTAGCAAAATCTAGATTGGTTGACCCGAATAAGATAAGAAATCTACAGAATAGTTCAGCTATACCACTCACTACATGCAATTACACACAACCATACAATAGGATGGATGGGATAGGATGACAGTTTTAAAATCTAATGTCACAACTGGGTGGAGGGAGAGATTGATAACAGAAGCTTTGTTTATCAAATTAATTGCAAATACATGTAATAGTAGTGATTCAACACGTGTACAGTCGGATATCTGGAAAATTCTACTACCCCTACGACGACAAATAGGAGAAAACAAAGAAACAACAACTATAAAACTCAAGTTTCAGAGTCGTGTGATTACAATTGATATGATTATGAACAATAAATTTTGTTCGAAACCTCGTCATCCAGTAAATAATACTGTTTCACTGTGTGATATGTCTAATAAACAAACTAATATGGAATTTCTTACATTCATTACATATCAGGTGATATTACAGGTTTGATCATGATTTGAAATCAGTTAGAGAACCACTGAGAACCAGGAGTTATTGAACATCCGTCTCGCCCTAATCTGGGACTTTCCATCTGTACGCACCCACTGTGGTTCGAACCCAGAACTTTCAAGTTATAAGACGAGGTCGTAGGCCATTCAGCCACTTGGACGCGAACCAATGGCCAGCTCATGAATTCCACCTTTTGCCAATGGTTCTCTAACTGATGCCAACTAGTAATGAAATCTGTAACCAATCGAATCCCTGAAAACGAATGCTTGATATAAAATGACATCACAAAGGCTTTGCATTTTCTGTAACTGGTGTCTCACTGATTCTTTTAATTATTATTTGCGTTTTAACCTTTAGTTCATTATTCTTTTCTGTTTCTTAGGCTTTACCTGTTGACTAAGTGTCTAAATAATATTGTACTAATCAACATAAGATACAATAGGTTTAAAATTATAAATATGTAGACCAATAAATGTTGCGAATTTCTTGGAGCAATTTGGACACCAAGTCATACATCAAATCATTATAAATTTGCTTAAAATAGTTCCAGAAAAATCTTGCTTTTTTATTTTCAAAACTTGTTGGGATTATTTTAAGTAATTTTATAATAAATTCAAAAATTGAATTCCCCCTGTCTAACCTCAGAGAGCTACTCAGTAAATGAACAATGAATGTACACTTTGTCTTCAACAAATACGTTCACTATTAGGCTCAATTTTGGCTCAATTTCTCTTTGTAAAACTTGAAAGTGGACGATCGGGAGATGTTATCAACAAGCTGGAATTTCATTTCTGTTATGTCGATGATACATTCATATGAATGAATGAGAATGTAGGTATAAATGAATTGTTGATGAGATTTAATAACATCCACCCTTCGCTTAATTTCACTTACGGAGAAGAGTAGGATAAAACAATACATTTTCTGGATGACTTGCTAAGCAGGTGAGTTAGGTCACTTGGGAGAAGTGTGTGTATAGGAAAAGTTCATTTACAGGGCAATACACACACTTCCTTAACTGTCTGTTAGTTAAATATAAAAGTGTCCTATAGAGGCACAGCAAAAAATTTACTTTCGGAAAGTCACTTACAAGGGGAATTCAGATATATTCACGAATCCTTGATGAATTGTCCAAGCAGTTTCATAAAGAAACATGAAGAAGTTGGATAGCAAATCTGAGATTGATAGCTATTAAGAAATCATTATTCATTAAGTTGCAATTTAAAAAAAACTTGTCAAGTGGAATTTTGTGCCAAAGACTAATGAGAAGTATATGGAGAACATTTTATACTCAGAAAACCTGTGTTTGTCATTTTCTTGTCGGTGAATGATTGGGACTCTAACTAGGGAAAAGCTAAATAGTCTTGTCACATATGCATGTATTTATCAATTCAACCACTCCTGTGGAGACAGTTATGTCGGTCATATTACTAGACAGTTTGGCTAACGTATTTCTGAACATCATCCTCCACCGTGGTTTGCTAAAAGTCAGACAAAAATGATCTGAAGCACCGTTTTTTCTCACTTAGTTGTTAGTGGAAAAGACGAAAATATTCGAGGTGATTTATTTAATCTTCCTAATGGACTTCATGTTCGTCTACTTCATATGAGTAAGGCGGTTAACTATTTCAATTATTAAGCCTGAAATATGCATTCAGAAAAGTTCCTACAGCCATTATCTCTCCCTCGACCAAGTAAAACATAACGAAGATATATATATATATATATATATATAGGAACAAGGCGTTTTTCGGCACTGCTAGTACTCCGGCCTGTATCGACTTTTGATTCATATTCTTAACAATGATTTTTTCTGGGTAACCGTTCTCATTCCGCAATTGTTTAATAGTAATAAGGTCTTCATCGAGACATTCATCAGAGCAGATTGCTCTTGTCGTGTGAGTAAAGCAGTTTATTAGTTTGCGTTTGTATTTCAAAAGTACAAAGCTGAAAAAATGAGTATACTGACCTTTTGATGTAGATTTTCGCTAAATATATAAAATTCTTTTCTTATCAACTCTTAGTGTTGTTCCACCTTCATAAATCTGGCATCACTCAATTGAACTATTGGTTTTGCGTAGCCTTTATCCACTACATCTATCGGAACACTATTTTTAAGCATGCTGTTTTCATTAACGTTGTTATTACAAATCGCTCCACTTTGTTATTCATAGGATCATTATTATTATGAGTGATTGCACAACCTTAACATCTTATTGACAAATTACCGTGATTAGTTTCTATTTAATATCTATTTGTAAAGTTATGTGTATTAGTGTAAAGCCTTATTATATTCAACTAAAAACAAAACTGTCTGCTTACACGTGTTTTTCTAAATTTAAATATGTTGTGGTGTTAGTTCATTTCATCATACTGACTTTATCCATTAGTTTTAATAGCTGCACTAGTTACTGGTGCTTTGTAAAGCTGTTTCACTAGCTATGGGAATCAGATTTTGTTACTTGATGGAAGGAGCTTTTGGAATCTCCTTCGAGTTATTTGTGAGTTGTGGATTAGTGTAGTCATTTTTTATCAGATTTACTCAAGATATATGAGCATTATAACAACTATATTAGGTTTTATCTTAAATAAGAGGAAGATTTAAAATTAAAAATGTCAATTCAGGAAAAAAATGACCATGAATTGCAGTCAATAAATTTGAAGGCGTCTAGATGGTTTGAGGTGATGGTTCAACTCATTGCTACTCAATAACTTTACTTGCGATTGCATGCAGCTGGCAATGAGTCACATCTATTGTGTGACGACTGGTTATACTACTCAGGGTTGTTCAAACCTCGTCTGTGTACGGAGCGTCGTCCGAATTTGTGACTCATTGGTTGGAAGTTGAGCAGCTAGACCAATGAGCCGCAGCTCCCTCGATAGTTAGGCCTACCACAAGGTTCACATTACACGTAGCTGCATTCACCATTTACGTTTCAGTTTTATTTACTCAATAGTAACACTGTGGTGAGAGCTGGCTGTTAGCCAAAATTGGTGAACAGTAATTTACGCCAAGGTTTATGTCCCCAATATTGGTCGTGAGAAAAATGAGAACAAAGGCTTTGCGTAGGCGGATACAGTTAACATATAGATGATCTGACATTCAAGAAACAGCCACAAAGAGATGCAAGGTTAACTTTCTGTGAGAAACAACCAATCAGAAGACTGTGTTTTCTGTTAACAATAATCTGTAATATGTACATGAGAATCTATACATATGTGTTGATTTCTTTAATAAACTATCTGTTGCCTGACCCTTGTCTTCTGTTGTTACAACACTAATGTTCTTTATTTTTGGTTCTCTTTTTAAAGATTACAGATTTCGGTGGAGGAATGACACTGAATATGGTTGAAAGAACTTTCGGTTATAATTTTACAACAGCTATTCACTCTACACATTTATATTCAAATTTTTTAAATCTTGAAGAGAATTATTCGTCAGTTCCAAATGTCAGTCAAATCACACCAAATAATCGTATGACGTATGAAGTACAATCAGAGCGTAGTACTTGTACACCAATAGCTGGTAGAGGGCATGGTTTACCATTGAGTAGACTATATGCTAAATATTTAGGCGGTAATCTAAATCTTTTCTCTGTTGAAGGTGTAGGCACATCAGCATTGATCCATTTGAAACGAAAACCTGAAAATGCACATGAACTTATTCCAATATTTAATCATACTACCAAGTCATTTTATGAAAATAACACTATGGAACGTGATTGGATTTCAAGTTCACAGTTTGGTATACATTCTAATAAAACTTTACGTGAATCTTGTATCATATCTCCTTGATGAATATATAGATAAAAGAAGTTTCTTTTCTGTATAATCTCAATTTTGTTCATCTATCGATTTATATGCTACAGAAGCATATTCATCATCGCTTACTTCATTCTCCTTTTTGGTTATATAATATATATGTGTGTGTATAGCAAAATTAAATAAAACCAAGTCTTTCATATATATAAACACTGTATTTCAAATGTCTTACTACCGTCTTTATTACATCACAACTATGCTTTTATTCAGAGAAGCAAACCTCTCTCTTCTGCATTAATTCACCTAATATGGCAAAATTACAAAAGAAAAACGCGTAATAGACAGAGGAAAAAAAGGGGATGAGATGTGTGTAAGCTGTCTCTCATTCTTAACTGTACCTATATGTGAATAAATCTCAATGCATTTCTCAGCTGTTTTTCTTTTGTTTTTGCTATCACTTCCTTCTTCTTCTTTTTAAGAATTTGTCTGTGAGTTTTATTTTGTGAAATAATAATAATAATGAATTTTTTCTGGTCGTGAAAGAATATCTCTGCATTATGTGTGCGTTGTTTTTTTTTCTACAATCCGCGTATAAAAACGGTTACTTGTTGTGCTACTGTAGATCAGATTTCTCATGTACATCAGGTCCGTGAGCCTCTGTTGATTTGTGGAGACTTACAATGCTACCAGGTTGGTTACCATAGGCTGAAGAGTAGGTGAGACGGAATTCGAACCTGGGACAGATTGACTGAAAGTTGATTGTTTGAGTAAGTCAACTGCATCTCTATTAAATTAGTAATCGTGGTTGTCTTCTTACTGTGTTATGGATAATGACACTTACGTTTTTCGATCGTTCAGATGTTAGGTTGTTAGATTACCGAATTCATATCCAGTGGCGTGGTTGAAGTGATTGGACAGTAGTATTGTGAGCCGTCTATTGGTGTATGTGAATCCCAAACTCTACGTGGATATTGGCACATGGTTACACACTTTTCGTATAACTCGGTTTTATTAGATGTCGATATTCTGAGGTTATAATAATAATGTGCGTCGGTGGCACAGTGGTTAGGACTCTCGCCGACCATGGCACATGGTCCGAGGTTCGATCCCCTGCCGACGAACACCTGATATCTATGGTTGGCCTGCGAAATTTGGGCTACCGATATCCATGCTGAAAATTCCATACTTGTACCAAAACTACAGTGTGGAATCAAGCTGTAATCAAAAATAAAAATAACGGCTTTATTCTGGGCTTAAATATATACGCAATATACAGAATTTTTATCGTAATTTTTTGCAGAATATTTTGTCTTCATCCAGGATCTTCAAGTAAAATACTAATCAGATGAACTGTAGTCAAGATTTGACAGAATAGTTCTATAATATTTGGGCGCCGAGTGAGAAGTAGACATTTGTAAAAAATTATATTTGTAAAATCTCAGCGATATTGAAATGAGTGATTCCAACGTTTCGTTCGTCAATCTGGTCCGAACTTCTTCAGGGAAATTAATCGAAATTAACATAACAAAAGTTTATATATAAAAGGAACATCTCTTGTTTTTAAAAACTTGTCCAGTCATGAGTCATAAAACTAGTATTAATGAGTATAATAAACAAAATTGTACGAGTTATGATCAAAATTTGACCTCAGACTTACAAATATTGATCTACCTTTGTTTTACAACTGTTTATTCGCTCACACACATACACACTGTGTTTAACAAAGGTAGACCAATATTTGTAAGTCTGAGGTCAAATTTTGATCATAACTCGTACAATTTTGTTTATTATACTTGTTAATATTTGTTTTATGAATCATGATTGGACAAAGTTTTTAAAAACAAAAGATGTCCCTTTTATATATGAACCTGTTATGTTAATTTCGATTAATTTCCCTGAAGAAGTTCGGACCAGATTGACGAACGAAACGTTGGAATCACTCATTTCAATATCGCTGAGATTTTACAAATATAATTTTTTACAAATGTAAAATACTAATCTATAGTATATCATGTTATAGAACTGTTCTATTTAAAGCATAAACTAACCCCTCATGAATTCTTTCCTTCCTCCTTGAGGAATGTGTATCGGTCAGTTGCAAGTCGATCAGAAATGTGGGTGTGTACATAATAATTAAAGAAAGCATGATGCACTGTGCCAAATAGCAATTCAGGTAGCCCAGTGATTCAAGCAGGCATCCAGATAATTATTATTATAGGAGCTAAATAGATTTCCGTTCTATAAGATCCTTGAAAATTCTCCTTGCCCCAGAAGGTAGATGAAAAGCAACAGGCTGATTATATTAAAAAATGTTCCACCAGAGCAAGAAGAATATTAACAAGAAGGAAAAGTAAAATGAGAACTAATTTAACAATGACTAGTCAGAGTTTATCAAAAACTCACTAAAATATGGTTTGGTATTTGTCTGGCTAATATTCGTTACTTCCACAATCGGAATTTTAATTTGCAGACTTTCAAGTCAGTCTATAGAGTCACGCAATAGTTAAGTAAACTCCATAAGCCTACCTTAGACTGAATAGTTATTCTCTAACCGAATCAACTGGTGTTATAATTCTTACAGTATTTCAAGAAGTTAAATACTTGTAGATTCTCAGAAATGTCATTTAAACTGTTTTTTTGAGTGCAGATTATGATGAGTACTGTGGTAGGTTACAATGGCAAAGTAAAAGAATGGCGATCCAAGGGGGACACACTGACAATGTTCTGACGCCCACTGAGATCAGGGTAGTAAAGAAACGCCAGAAAACAGCAAGAATACTAAACAGGATATCTTTATTATGAATGCTTAACTATGTTTCTCTTCATTTCGCCGAAATTAGCCAGGTTGATGCAATCGGCCTCTTGAAGGACATTGGTGCGTTTGTTCTCATTGAATTGCTACTCTTTAAAATTTGTCCGTATACTTCCATAATTGAATAATTTCTATTTGATATAACACATTGTCATGCGTTAGTGTTTACTGATGATGATGTTTCAGACAGAATTTACTGCTCATAATCATGTTAAAGTGCTCGTATAAATTTCAGATTTCGTTTGTATACTTCCATTAATTTTCTTATCCTTTGATTTTATTGGTAATAATACTTCTCCTATCTCTGGTACTCATAATATGTCTTTCCTGTTGTATGTGTTTAGTGCATAGATCCGATGAAGAAGTATCCAGTGATCAACCTCTTCCTCCGCCTAACCATATTACTTTTTAGACGTGTAACTCTGTCCCACCCTATCGTGCGATTATGTGTTATTACATGCGTTTCGATTGCTTACGCTTAGCTAAATTCCTATGTTCCGATAGCCTGATTGACCTCGATCTGCTGGTATGACCCATGTAACTGACGTCACAGCTGTTGAGACGTATTTTTCAGATTAAATTATTTTCTCTTATTGAGTCAATAGGGTCCTTTAACTGTTTCCGACTGAGTCTTTAGGTTTAAATGTCACCCTAATTCCTGCTTTATTAAGAATCTTAAGTAGGGCTATAAATGCCCCTTCCTTATGTGGTAAAAATGTAGACGCCTTATATTCCTTCTTATTTCTTTTATCGTGAATAGTTCCACTACTATTTTTTCTTATATTGTAAACATTTTGAACATTCTAATGGATTTTCTAGTCGAAATCTGAAAATTATGTGAGGACCTTAATATGATCATGGGGAATAAATTGTGCTCAAAACGTCATTAGTAGATAATAATAATAATAACGTAGCACTATTCAAATGAACTGTCGTCAAGATTTGACAGAATAGTTCTAAAATATTTAGGCGCCAAGTGAGAAGTGGACATTTGTAAAAAATTATATTTGTAAAATCTCAGCGATATTGAAATGAGTGATTCCAACGTTTCGCTCGTCAATCTAGTCCGAACTTCTTCAGGGAAATTAATCGAAATTAACATAACAAAAGTTTATATATAAAAGGAACATCTTTTTCTATTATGCTCTTTGAAGAGGGAAAAGAATTTACATTTTTAAAAATAAAGTAAAGAGTGCTGAAGATGAATGAGTGGTGTATTTTTCTATAATAATTGTTACTGTATTAAGTTCTGTTTCAGTCTAAACGAAATAGTTTATACATGTGTCTTCTTAGGAATACGTTCCGTGCAGTTTGGGAGGGTAAACTGTAAGTTCTATGTATCAGATATATCACACAGCTTATAGTCTTTTCCAACACAGAGTTATACAAAATTGACATATTTAGTTTTGGTTGTTTTGCTGAATAACTTGACCATAGATTCATAAATTTTATACCTAGTGACATCACATGTCATTGACGGTCTTGAATGTTAGAACCTCTTTGCAGCTGAAGGTGTTTTTGTGAGAAATAAAAGCCTAAAGAGCACAGGATTGTAGTACATGGAGGTTTTGAGATGAAAATCATATTAATAACCGTAAGAATCAGTAGTTGTGATGTAAGTTTGAACAAAAAAATTTGATCTCTGTTAGGAATATGTCACGAATTTAAATGAAAGTTAATCACTCTTAGTTAGAACGCAGTTACTTCTCACCCGGGGTTTTTCATACTACTTACAGTGTGACGGCTAGTAATATTTCTCAGTCGCTTAGGGTTGCTGGGGGTGATTTGTAACCAGCACCCATTGGCCACAAGTGGAGCATTTAAGCTAACCAGCCGTTCTACCCAACTGTTTCAGATTTCGTTGTTTTTGAGAGTAAGCAGTCACACAATATGGCATATTAACGTTTTATGAAGTAGTAATTCTTTAACTTTATACTGGAATGCTGCCGACAATGACCCACTAAAAGTGCATTTTATTGTTAACTATTTGAACTTAAGTCAGTAGTTATCCATTAAGAATGTCAGTCCATATCTAGTCATCAAATTTGCATAATCTAGGAAAGGAGCTCTAAAGTCATTGAAGTTTAAAACCCACGTGGTTATCACTTTCGTAGTAACAGGAATCTACTTTGAAGTCTACATGTTTGGTACTTGATATAAGAATAAAACTTGTGCACTGTGCTAGAGTGTAATTCCATTATGGGTAAATTTTTGTTTTGAT